TTCACTTGCTTAGACGGAATACATTAACTAACCCAGCAAACTGTTATCTTTTCTATCCATTCAAAACATCAATAGCATACTCATATAAACAGAAACATTTTAAATAACATGTATTACTAAAACTATGAACTATTATACCCTCAATCGGAGCTTAATATTCTCCAGAACTTTCTCAGATGAACACTGGAAAAGAGGAAGGTAATGACTCACCCAAGTTGTGAATAATTGCTTGCTGATTTTGCTAGTTTTGTCATTGACCTGGAATATGCCTCTTCTATCGTAGCTCTGTTAAATCAAAGTTCTTTATGATAATATATAAGTGATGAAAACATAACCAACTTAAAAAAACAAAATTAAAACCTTTGCGGGAAATATATGTTTGTGTGTATATTCATACACACATGCACATTAGGTTATATGCTAAGAATAAGTACATATACAGTTAGACTGTATGGCTGATTTTTAAATGCCCTTTTGTACACTAGGTCTGGTGTAGAGTTAAAATAATTTATACCACCCAAGAAACTTAAATGACTTAAATACCTTTTTTGCCCCTTAATGCCAACTGCTATTCAAACACAAAGTGCAAGAGTGCTGTTATTAGTATTTTTTGTCTCTAAAAACTATGATGTCATTTGTATTTAATATTTCCTGTCTGTTTAACATGATTTCATTATTCCTCAACCTTCTGATGTCATTACACATTTAATAGAGTAAGAGATTGATGAGAGTCGTATGCATCCACATACTCACAGGACAGCACTTATCCAAAATTAGCGTGCAGAGCAGGCTGGAGAGCAGGTGGAAGAGGGGGAGGTGGGGGTTGAGTTCAACAGATACATTGAAACAAGATGTCTATGACTCAGTGATTGAAAACTAATAATCTGCTCTGTAAATAGCCACCTAATTTACAATTTAAAAATGTTTTTAAGGAAAGTTTTTGATTAGGTTCAACCCAGTCCCAGACCAGTCCCCCAAAAGAAAAAAAGAGTAGGAAAGAATGAATTACTCCTAAACTAACTGGGGGATGGGGAGAGGGTAAGGACTAGAAATCTGTTTTTTAAATAACCCAAAAGAAGGGGAGAAAGAGGAGCCCGTAGGACAGGGTAGAACTGGCTTTGTGGTTTTCTAGACTATAATTCTTTACCGGAGTAGAAAGCATCATCTTTCTCCCATGGAGTGGCTGGTGGTTTTGGACTGCTCACCATGTGTAACCCAGCCACCAGGGCTCCTCAGAACAGAAAGCAAACAGTAAAACAATACAAGGGTCTGCAAACACACAAGCCAAAAGACCATATCTGGCCCTTTGTTTTTGTCAAGGAAGTTTTACTGCAGCACATCATTCTCATTCATTTGCAAGCTGGGTTGGGGTTGCTTTCATAGTTAAACAGCAGAGCTGGGTAGCTGAAACAGAGACCGGAGGGTGGCACAGTGTGTTAAACACTGAGCTACTAAGTGTATAGATCAGCAGTTCAAACACACCAGCTGGGCCATGGGAGAAAAATGTGGCAGTCTGCTTCCATAAAGATTTACAGTCTTGGAAACACTACATGACTGTTCTATTCTGCCCTATGGGGTAGCTACAGGGACACTGCAGTGATTTACGTGGCTCTTCTAGCCAGTCTCTAAGTCTGATTTTGCTAGTTTTGTCATTGACCCGGAATATGAACAACCAGGTGGTGGCACAGTGGGTTGATTAAGCATTTAAAAGGATCTCTATCCTGCATAGGTCTGGTAAGAAGGTGGGGGGAAAGACTGATTAGATTCACCTGTGAGTAACTGTGACCAAGATTCCCAGGAATGCCATCCTGTACACCTTAAACGAGCCCTCTAAGGAAGAGGAGGGATCTGATTACTAGCAAGATCAGGAACAAAGGGTGTCCTCTGGACCCGAGATCACTGCAGATAACCTCCTGGATCTAGAAGACAGCTATAACATCGGAGGGCAGCAGCAGAATAATAATAATTTTTACTAATAACTTAAAAGTTTAGAAGAGAAAAACTCATAGGAAAAATGTAACTTCACAGAAAAATTAGAAAATCAGGGATGTTCTGTAACATTAAAGAAATGTGAGATAAAATTTAAATTACACAATTTAATATTAAAGAGCATAATTAACGAACTACAGGTAAACACAAAAATCTATATGAGGTGAACATCCAAGATTTTGTGAGAAAATGGAATTTTTCCACAAACTTTTTGAAGCTACCTAATATATAGGTAATATAGAGTTAGAAAAATAGTTTCAACCACTCAGCAACAAAAAGGCATGAATTATTGATACATATTTGAGATGAATCTCAAAAATAATTATGCTGAAAAGTGGCCTGACAAAAAATAAACAGAGCATATATAAAATTCTAGAAAATGTAAATTAACCTATAAATCAGAGAAAAGTAAATGGTTGTTTAGGGATGGGGGGATAGGAAATGGAGAGGGGGTGGAAAAAAAGAGGTAATGGGTACAAGAGAAAGAATGCACGTATGTGCACGCATGTGCACGCACGCGCACACACACATACAGTGACAGGTTTTATGTAAATTTGTGCAGCCCAAGAGATGATCTAATATAGTGTGGGCAATTCCATGAGTGGGTCTTCTGTGAAGCAGCCAAATAGTTCATCTGGTCACAGTCTTGATACAATTGAAGGAGGTTTCGTTTCACTTAGTATAGAGTGGCAGTGTGTGGAACCTGTAGCTGTTTTGAGTTATCGAATTGGCTCACACCCATAGAGACTACGTACAACAGAAGGAAACACTGTACGGTCCTGTGTGATCTCTACAATTCTTCCTGAGCCTGAGTCCACTGCTGCAGCCACTGTGTCTGTCTATGCATCTCCTTGAGGGGCTTCCTCTTTTCATTGTCCTTCCACTTTATCAAGCATGATGTCCTTCTCCGGGTACTGGTCTCCCTGACCACTTGTCCAAAAGCATGTAAGACGAAGTCTTGCTGTCCTTGCTTATAAGGAGGACTCTGGCCTTACTTCTTCCACTACAGATCAGTTTGTCTTTTTAGCAGTCTATGGCATTTTCAATATTTTTCTCCATCTCCACAATTCAAATGTATCGATTCTTCTACGATTTTACTTATTCAGTGTCCAAGTTTCACACACATATGATACAATGGAAAATACCATAGTGTGGGTCAGGTACACCTAAGCCCTCAAAGTAACATTCTCATTTTTAATACTATAAAGAAGTCTTGGGCAGCAGATTTATCTAATGTAACATGTCTTTTGATTTTTTTTTTTTTACTGCTGCTTCCATGAACAGTGATTGTGAATCTAAGCAAGACAAAATCCTAGACAACTTCAAACCTTTCTTCATTTATCATGATGTTACCAATTGGTTCAGTTATGAGGCTTTTGGTCTTCCTTATATTGAGTTATAATTCATACTGAAGGCTACAATACTTGATCTTATCCACAAGTGCTTCAATTCCTCCTCACTTTCAGCAAGAAAGGTTGTGTCAACTGCATACTGCATGGTAATAAACCTTCCTCCAATCCTGATGCCATATTCTTCTTCATATAATCTAGCTTCTCTGATGATTTGCTCAAAATACAAAATGAATAAGTACAGTGAGAACATACAACCCTGATGCATACCTTTCGTGATTTTAAACCATTCAGTATTCCCTTGTTCTGTTCATCCAATTGTCTCGTGATGCAGGAACAAGTTCCGAAGGAGTACAGTGAAGTGTTCTGGAACTCCCTTTCTTCTCAGGTTATCCACAGTTTATTATGGTCCACATTGTTGGATGCCTTTGCACAGCCAACGAAACACACCTCAAGCTAGTTTACTTCTACTGTTGGATTTGGATCCTGCATTTGGTTTGTTGACCTCTTATTATGGTGCCTGCTGATCTCAGGAGCTATAAATGGACTGTCGACCTCAGATTTATTCAGCTGATGTCAGATTTGTCCAGCTGTGCATCCACCAGCCTATGGTCTTCCTGTTTTATTTCCCTGCTTCCTGCTCATCAGCCCCTGCAGCTACACGAGTCAGAAGTCTTCAGGTTACATCTGACCCAGAGACTTGAAATGGACTGGACTTACCCACTTGTTCACTAGTGGGAGCCATTTCTTGATTTAAATCTCTTTCTCTATACATTCGCATACAAGTACCACTGGTTTTGCATCTCTTGGGAATCCAGTCTAACACACACACATACACATTCTAATATATCAAACTGTATACTTTTCAGTAGGATGGTTTACTCTACGGCAACTATATCTTAATAAAACTGGTGAAAGAAAGAGATTAAGGGAAACACAGAGGGAAAGGGGAAATATCTTAATGACTGACTTGGGAAATTATGTAGCTTTTCTTTGTCTCGATTTTGTCAACTATAAAATAGGCATGAAAGAGTTACATGAGGCAAATTAATGAATATAAAGTCTTTCATGTATGATATACACTTAAATGTTTATCTTTTCATTCTTTCTTTTTTTCTCATTCACTCCTTCCAGAAATTGTGTATCTAACTGTATCAGGCTCTATGCTAGGCAATGGGATACAATAGGACATGGTCTAATAAGAGAACACAGAAATGAACAACAAAAATGAACAGTAATACAATTTTATAAATATGACATTGAAAGAGATGAAAATAAATGTCTTGCCCTCAGGAAGGGAACAGAAGATTCAGGGTGCTAAGCAAAATGTGGTGAAGAAATTATGATGGTGCCCAGCTAGCTGATAAAACAGTGTCTGGGGTCTTAAAGCATTTGAGGTCTCTAAACAAGCAGCCAAGTAAGAGAATGTACTCTAACAACATGCCAGGACTAGACTGAAAAAGAACAAGAATGAACGTAGATATGTTATCCCAAATGTATCTACAAAAGATACAGCAATAAGCACAAAGAGAGAGAAAAATCCTTACCCTTGTGGGGCTTATACTATAGGCAAACAAGTGAAAAATAATTTATGTTAGATAGTTTTAAGAGCTATGAAGATAAATACAACAGGGTAGGAAGAGTGGCCTCAGTGTCCAAAGTTCCAATAAGGGCTTACATTCTGGACAATGGGGGATGACCCGGGAGTCTCAGACTTCTTATGATATGACATGTGGTTATGTTGTTGTTAGGTGCCAGCGAGTCGGTTCCAACTCATAGAGACCCTACGTGCAACAGAATGAAACTGCGCAACCCTGCACCCTCCTCAAAATTGTGAGCCCATTGTTGCAGCTCCCCTATCAATCCAGCTCATCAAGGTGTGACATCAACATAGCAAAAGATCTGTGCTAATGGTCTCAAAATGTATAGCAATGGCATTGAGGTAAGTGTTTGGTGAAAGGGGAAAGGCATGAGAAGTGCCCGAAATGTCAGAGATGACGGAGAAGCCTGTGAGAGAGAGAGCCCTACCAAGCGGGCCTGGAGCTTCTGGACTTTCTCAGCCCCAGCGGAGAGAGGTTAAAGTCAAAAAGAGGACTGAGCTTACATGAAAGAGTTTGTTCTCCAACAACTCCACAGTCTGTAACAGCCACCAAGGCCGAGGCAGTGTCCTTAGCACCTTAGGGTCCAGACAAGTGTGTGGCATAGAGCACATACGTAATATATACTGATGAAAGAATAAATGGCAGAGTATTGTATAGCAAAAAAGTGTACCCATATTAACTAGATAAAGATTTAAAATGTGCCCATATGAAAACTACCAAGTTGGACTAGGCACAAATTAGTTTTAAGAAGCAATATGGTAGTGGAGTTATTTGATTTTTAACCATGATTTTTAATAATTTTTAAACTTACTATTCTATTCCAAAAGATCCCTAGTGGCACAGTGGGTTAAGTATTGGAGTACCAACTGAGAGGTTGATGGTTTAAATCCATCTGCTTCTGTGTAGATTTAGAGCCTCAGAACCATACGGAGCAGTCTACGCTGTCCTACAGGATAGCTATGAGTCAGAACTGAGTCAATATGATATAATACGAAAGCCATTGCTAACAATTTTAAGGAAAGTCACATTTTATTCAGTTGTAGAATTTTTTAAATAAATAAGACTTTATTTTGTTTTTATTTAATAAAAACCGTTACAATCTATAAAAAGATGTTAAGTTCATAAAACAGTCTCTTCACATTGATTCAGCAGGTTTACTTAATGACACGTTTAAAGAATGGCAATAAAATCATTATCCAATGCTTAAGAGAAAGCAAAAATGATACGGGTTATGGAGAACAGCAAGGTAGTTCCTAAAAAAATTAAAAACAGAATAACCATTTGATCCAGCAATTCCACTCCTAAGTATATTCTCACAGAACTTGAAAGTGGTGATATAAACAAACATATGTACAATGATCATTCTAACTCTATTCACAACAGTTAAAAGTTAGAAATAATCCCAATGTCCACATACAAAGGACTGGCTAGACAATGCAATACTACTCTACCATAAAGGAAAAGGAAGTCCTGATATATGCTACAACACCGATAAATCTGAAAGGCACTACACTGACTGAAATAAGTCAAACGCAAGAAGACAATACTGTACATATGATCTCACTTAAATAAAATAGGCAAATGGAGACCAAAGCTTTATTCGTGGTTTATCAAGAGGAGCAGAGAAAGGGCTGTAGTGAATTTCTGTTTATAATGATGTGAAATTTTGCATTGATCAAGGGTAATAGTAGCACATCACGACTACTGTAGTTGAGATCACTGAGCTATACGCCTGAAAAAAAGATTGTATAGGCAAATGTTTATATATGTGTGTGCAAATGTTTTTTACAAAACAACTCAAAACAAAAGAGAGGTTGCTGATACTGCTTAAGTACAACCAAACAACTCATAGGATTTGTTCTTTTGGACCACAAGTTTAGAGTTATAATTTTGTGGAGCAATCCAGGCAACTGGCCTAAAGTTATTTTTGGCGTTTCTGTTCTACCTCCTCGTCTGTTGAAGGTAGAGTTGAAGGTCTAAAATGTAAACCCCCACCTAAATCACAAATAAATCATTTGTTTTGTTTTGTTTTAAACATTTTATTGAGGGTTCTTATAGCTCTTGTAATAATCCATACATCAATTGTATCATGCACATTTGTACATATGTTACCATCATTATTTTCTAGACTTTTTTTTAATTAAATACTTTTGGGGGCTCTTACATCTCTTATCACAACCCATACATTCATCAGTGTGTCAAGCACATTTGCACATATGACGCCATCATCATTTTCAAAGCATTCTCTTCCCACTGGAGCCCCTGATATCAGCTCCCCATTTCTTCCCCCCTCCCTCTCTCCCTCCATCATGAATGCTTGATAAGCTATAGATTATTATTTTCATATCTTACATCATCCTCCGTCACCCCTCACCCACTTTTTCGTTGTTCGTCCCCCTGAGAGAGGGTTCTAGGTTGATCCTTGTGATCAATTCCCCCTTTCTAGCCCTCCCCTCCCCTAATCGTCCTGGTATCTCTACTCTCACTGTTGACCCTGAGAGGTTTATCTATTCTGGATTCCCTGTGTTGCCGGCTCTTATCTGTAGCAGTGTGCATGTTCTGGTCTAATACAATTTGTAAGGTAGAATTGAGATCATGCTAGTGGGGGGAAGGAAGCACCAAAGAACTAGAGGAAAGCTGTGTGTTTCATCAGTGCTATACTGCCCCCGGACTGGCTCATCTCTTCCCTGTGACCCCTCTGTGAGGGGATGTCCAATTGTCTACAGATGGGCATTGGGTCTCCACTCCATGCCCGCGCCTCCCTACCCCATTCACCTTAGGTATGATTTTGTTGTGGGTCTTAGATGCCTGACACCTGATCCCATTGACACCTCATGATCACACAGGCTGGTGTGCTTCTTTCATGTGGGCTTTCTAATAGTCTATGAAAATGTGGATATAATGAGATACGTTCTTCATTGCCAAGGCACAAAAGAGGAGGAAATTCTGTAACTCCAGAACAAGAGAAAGAGAAACCTCATTTCACAGATAAAGAGACAGGACAGGAACATGAGCTGATTGAAAGCATGCCCCTACTGGAATGATTTGCTAACAACTACAAAAAATTTGGAGCTACACTGGAAATTGTCACAGATAAGTCACAAGAAGGATGCCAGTTTGTGAAAGGATTTGGTGGAATTGGAGGTATCTTACAGTACTGAGTAGATTTCCAGGGAATGGAATAACAAAGAGAAAACAATACATTTTTTGACCTTGATGACTACTAGGTAGTCGACATGGGTCCGGCAAACCGTGCCTCACCCTTCAACATCCAACCCAAGGAGTATACCCGTGGCGGAATCCAAACAGATCCCTGCCTTATGACTGGAACCTTCTCAGAAATTAACTCCATGCGCATTGGATATTGAAATGAAAACCGAACACAACCAGGCCCGACTCTACACTTTGGTTTGTCATGGTGTCAGCGCAGCAGCCTACAACTAAGTTCCTAAAAGTCACTGTGGACTAGTTTTAAAAAGAATCCCAGTTTTTACTTTTACTTGATGGTGAAAACTGGCTGCTCTTGTATTTTGTGGAAAAAACAAACGATTTTTTAACCTTCATACATAGAAGCAAAAATACTTTAACTGCTGTAAACCTTCAAAAGTTAACAGAAGTGACATTATTAAAAAAAATAAATAGTAGGTTTAACTATTTTAATCTAAATTCAATTAAAATGTTTCTCAATTATATACTTAAATAAATATATACATACCTTTCTCTTACAAAATCTGCTAGTTCTTTTGTTGATATGTGTCCATGTTTCATATTATGATAGAGGACATCAAAGCCATTATTTTTTTCCCCCTGAAATTTAAAAAGATTTTTAGTTTAACAAAAAAGATCAAAGTGACATGAAAATACAGTAAGTGTCCATTAACTAATATGCAATTCTAATGCTCATGTGAGCTGTTGATCCTTGATTTAACCATTAATGTTAAATTAATGTTCCTGTTCACTGTATTACTTTAAACTTCATCAAAGCAATACTATGTTTGATAAAGTTTACAATTTACTATATACCTCTCTGGGATACTGTGGGTTTAGTTCCAGACCACCAAACGAAAGTGACTGTCACAAGAAAGCAAGTCACACATGGTTTTTTATTTCCTAGCACAAATATACCGTAGTGTTAAATGTGTAACGGCATTTTGAAAAAGTTGAAAATATTTTAATAATTACCACAAAGTGCCACAGAAACATTAAGTGAGCAAATGCTCCTGGGAAAATGGTGAATCGATAGATCTGACACAGGGTTGCCACAAACCATCATTTGTGGAAATGCAATTAGCTGAGCAGCACACTAACGTGCAACACAATGAACTGAGTTCTGTCTATACACACATTTACATACATGCACACTGGGCACACTGTTGTTCACTACTGTGTTATTAGGTACCATTAGTGTTGGTTCCCACTCATAGCGGACCTATGTAAAATAAATCAAAACTGTGCCACCCTTACAATTGTTCTTAGATCTGAGTCCATTGTTGCAGCCACTGTGTCAGTCCATCTCGCTGAGGGCCTTCCTCTTTGTCACTGCCCCCCCCCCCCCCCCAATGTTAGCAAGCACGATGTTCTTTCCCAGGGAGTATCTCTCCGGGTAACATGTCCAAAGTACTGAGGGTCGTCATCCTTGCCACTAGGAGCATTCTGGCTGTACTTTTTCCAAGACAGATCTATTTGTCCTTTTGGCAGGCCATGGCATTTTCAATACTCTTATCAGTTACTGTGGCTAGGTTCCATCAAGTGGGTTCTGACTCATGAGGACCCTACAGTTCAACAGAACCAAATACTACCCAGTCTTGTGCCATCTTCGCATGTATACATATGGGTAAGCAAACATAAGAGTACAATTCATGAAATTAAACCTAAAATTTTAAAGAATGTCAAACAATACAATCTTAAAAATAAAAGCATGAGCTTTTTTAATGCATTACCAAATCCCATTTCAACTCCTTTAACAAGCATTGAGATTACTAATTATTTAACTCAGTTATTGTTAGATGCTATTAAATTGATTCCGACTCACAGCAACCTATGGACAACAGAAGAAAACACTGCCTGGTCCTGCACCATCCTCACAATTGTTCTTACGTCTGGGCCCCTTTTTTGCAACCACTGTGTCAATCTTCTTGTTGAGGGTTTACCTCTTTTTCAATGCCCCCACCCCTCTCCACCTACATTAACAGAGTTGGAACTTAAGAAAATTTTAAAAATGCCTGACTTCTGAATTAAAACAACATATAATTAAACATACAAACACTGAATAGCAGAAAAACGTTTAATCACTAGCCTATGTCTTGTAGTAAATGTAAAAACCTGAGTAGTGAAAAATACGATAAAATTTTAAGAAACACGAATGTATTTGAACAGATTTAGCCTTTTAACTAATGGAAAAGTAATAGAATCAGAACACTATACAATCCTAGAAAAAATTCACTGCCATTTAATCCAATAAGTACTAGGTTAGCAAGACATAACAAATAAAACTTTAGAAATATTAATTTTAGAAGTGAAATAAAAATAAACAAAGTGAGCTGAATTTTTTACACAAAATCAAATATTGTCTTTAGTGGAAAAAATATTATAAAGAACTGAATATATGCACTGCAAATAAAAGAAATACTGGATGCAAGTGTTATGCGAGCTGAAACCTAATTCTTTCACCACTCATAGACAACAGGAAACATATTAAGGTAACTTTCAGCTATGACATGATCTTTAACAAATTTGTCATATAATACAGCAAGTAATAAGTTTTCCATATATATAGCATATTAAAATGTCATAATTATAATGAGATAATATAAAGAATATCCTTTTAAGCATCCAGTTTCATTTATTGAAAAGACTCTTTTAAAAGTCTCTTGTGAATCCAAATATTTTCACTGGGCTCCTACTGTATTCCATATTTAAGATGACAAGAAAAAAGTGCCATATAACTTTTTTTTTATCCTGAGTTTTCCAAGTAAATTTTTGCCAGCCGAGATTAAGAATATTACCACTAACCGGCTAACACACGTGACTGCTACCCAAGGGCGGGAAGTTTGAGTATAGCCTGAGTGTGCTGAAGAAATCTCCGTGAATCCACTTCCAGAGAATCTGCCATTGAGAATCTTAAGGAGTTTAAGGGTCACCATGAGCCAGAATCAAAGTCAACTGGTGTTTTTTGGTTGTTTTTAATAGCAAGCAAAAATAACATCATGCATATCAGTAAATAAAACATAGACAAAAAATAATGAGTCTCAATTACTCCCACTAAGCCCATTACTTCAGTAGTACATAAACTACACATCTACCTATGTGGACTCTCCACCAATACGGTTGTAAGTGCTGAAACAAGCAAGCAAACAAACAAAATTCTGAAATCCAAACCAGAAAATCCCAATTCTGAAGCTCTCAAGCCTCACATTCTCACCTGACATTTCCGGGTTCTCATTTCCCACACATCAGGTTGCCTGGGTTCCCACCATAAATTAGGCATATTTAAAAGGGAAATTAGAAAAGAGTTGAGAGTAAACAGCTATTGCAATCAGGCACACATGTCTTCCAGACTACTGGAAGAACTAATATATACCAGGCTTACCAGAGAAAGAAACATTATTTTTAAAAATAAGACAAGACCCTGGGGGTTATCTGGTACTTGAGGCAGCAAGAAAGATCCTGACAGTCTCACTGCAAAGCTGGAAACACTAAGCAATCAAGAAATGGGTAAATGACCGTCAATCCTGTGCTCTAATGAAGAGTTCTTGAAGGAGAAAATTATTTGAGAAATCTGAGATGCAAACAATTAAGCTACCACTTAGGAATTTCCCAGTATATGAGGTGCGTTCATTTACTATATAAGTCATCTAAACATATTAATGATACTATACCTTAGGAAACCCGACTGACTACTCTAGCTCTAGAAGCATCTTCTTCGGACCAGGTAGAACTAACTGTCCGTCAGGGATTTCCAAGGCTGTAATCTTTATTTTTATTTTTTGGTTGGGTGGCCAGGGGATCACTATAATCTTTGGAGAAGCCAACTGTACCAGTTTCTGGAACAGCTGATGGGCGTGTCAAAAATCAGTAACTGTTCAACAGAAACCCCTGCGTGACTGCACCTCCACTGCCACTTCTTCATGTCCGGCGATGCATTCATTTAATGAGGTCAACGCATACAATGAGTCTGACTCTCGGCACTACTGTCTTAAGCCAATTTCACAAACCTAAATTAACACAAATATTTACTGATGATGAACTTTTTCTTTGGCACAAACTAAGCAAAAAGTTTTATTCTTCTAATGACAAAAAAATTCTATATGTATACGTGTGCAGAACATTTTTTAAAAGCCTTCAAAGTCCAGGGCTAACAAGGAGTCAACAAATACAACTTCTACTGTCACCATGACAAAAACTTCCAGAGCCATAACACTTATTTAAATTTCTGGGCCTCGATTTAGTATGCCCTAAAAAAATGTCTGAAAGTATAAAGTTTCAGTCTTCCTACACAGAAATGTACAATACAAATTTAATTCTGGCTTTGAAAGAATGGCTGATACTTGTTTCAAAAAGGGAACGAGAGTCAGCTGGAAGAAAAGTTCAGGTAAACAAGTACCGCCACATCCTGGTCCCTACTTCCCTCTGTACTGGTCTGAAGGGGAAACATTCTTATTATTCTTCACACTTAAAAGAATCTCTCTTTTTTAACATTTGTAGTGCCTTCAGTGAGCATTTACATAACAAACTAGCTTTCCAATCAATACCGCACACACAAATTGGCTCATACAATTTGTCAGCATTTCCTCCCTGGGTTCCCCATTTCCATCTGTTCTGTTTCCTGTCTCTCCTTACTCCGTCATCTGTGGGTTGGGCAGATGTTGCCCTTTTGGTCTCTTACAGTTTCCTCTTCTACAGTACATTCTTCACAGGTGGTAGTGTTTGTTTTTCTAATCAGGCCCATTAATTGGTTCGAAGGTGGCTCTGGGAGTGTCTTCAGCGTCAAGTTAGAAGGCTGCCTCATCAGGGTAATCGCCCTGGAGGTTCTTCTACTCTCAGTTACACTGGTAAGTCTGGTCTTCTTTTATTTTTTGAATGTTATTGTACATTCTTTATCCATAGCACTGGTCATACGTTCAGTAATGGTGGCTGGACATAACTAGTTAGTCTGGCTCAGATTAGAGGAGGCCGGGAGGTTCATGTGAGCCATTAGTTCTATGGATGAGTTGCTTCCTTGGATCTTCATTTTCTTCCTCCTCCTTAGCTGTAAGGAGCCATGGTGGCATAATGGTTATTTGTTGGGCAGGATAAGCACTTCAAAACCACCAGTGGCTCCACAGGACAAAAGAGGGGGCCTTCCTAATCCCATAAAAAGTTACAGTCACAGAAATCCAAGGGGCAGTTCTGTCCTGTCCTATGGGGTTGCTTTGAGTTGGAACCAAGTTGACAGCAGTGGATTTGGGTTGTGGGTTTTGTCTTAGCTGCAGGGTAGAAAAACCAAACCAAGCTCACTGCATTGAGTCAGTGCCAACCACAGAGACTGATAGGTTGGAAGGGCAAGACTGGGAGGGGGTGGGTTTAACATTTTATTGTGTTTAAGTGTAAGTTTACATAATAAATTAGTCTCCCATTAATAATTCAAAGACAAATTGTTCCATGACATTGGTTACAATCTCTACAATGTGTCAGTACTCTCATTTCCATACTGAGTTATCCCTTTCTATTTTTCCAGTTTCCTGACCCTTCTTGCCTCCTCATCTTTTGTTTTTAAATAAATGTTAACCTTTTGGTCTTGTATACTTGATTTTTTTCACATAGATTGCCAGGCCTTTGTCCAGTGCCTTTGGTTGAACTCAAACTTCCTTCCTATCTATTGGTTAGCAGCTGAGCCCCAAGAACTCCATAAATAAGACATGTGAATGATTAGCAGTAATTAGCCTTGATGGCCTCCTTCTTTTGAGGTACTCAGACTTTCATTCTGGATCCACTGTAAGGGTGGGAGCCTTGGTGGCAATGTAGTGGCAACAAGTTGGGCGGCTAACCGTGAGGCCAGCAGTTCAAATGCATCATCTGCTCTGCGAAAGATGAGGCTTTCTCCTCCCGTAAAGAGTTACAGTTTTGGAAATTCATAGGGGCAGTTCTAACCTGCCCCATGGGGTGGTTTTGAGTTGCAATCAAGCCCATAGTAGTGAGAGAGAGACACATACATAAATTAGGTAAGCATCTGGGTGGCATAAAAGAACCCTGGTGGCCTATTAGCTAAGCATTTCACTGCTAACTGAAAGGGCAATGGTTCAAACCCACTAGCCTCTCTGTAGGAGAAAGCTATCGCAGTCCACTTATGTAAACATTTACACCCTTATAACTGCTATGAGCAATTCTACTTTGCCCTACCAGCTCACTGCGTCAGAATCAACTCAGTGGCAATGGGTTGGGTTGGGTGACACAAAGTGTTAAAGTGTTAAAGCTTAAACCTTGGTGGTCCGAACCCAACAAGCAGAAATTCAGAAGACATGCTTCTGAAAGGTCACCACCGGGAAAACCCTACGGAGCAGTTCTATTCTGCACACATGGGGTCTCTGTAAGTCAAACTCCACGGCAACCAATGGCATCTAAATTACAATGCACAAACCACTTCATGTGCTCTTTCACAGACTGCCCACCAACTGCGTATCAAGGGAGTAGGAGAGATGACAGTATTTTAACTATATGCACATATTTCACATACTTGTATACAAGGGGGCTACTAAAAAGTTCTTGGGAAAATCCCATTATCTTTTCATTCAATTTTCCAAGTATTTCTTGGAGCCCACTCGATCTGTAAAAAAGTACAGAAGGAGATGAAACACTGCAGCTCAACTCTAGAATGACTATTCTAGGGGAGAAAGGACTCCAAATTAAAGTATTTTTTAATCGTTTTATTGGGGGCTCATACAACTCTTATCACAATCCATACA